TTGAACGCACATGTGAGGTGTGCGTTTATTTTTGGTAGCGCCTTCCTGAGTGCTGCGTTTTGAAGGAATAACGCGCCACTGAGGGTCGTGTTTCAGCTGTATCAGTCGAGGTTCGTAGTTGGGCTCATTGCCGTGAAGCGTGCGTTCCGTGGTGGAAACGCTGTGCTCGGGCAAAACCTCTAAAACGCGATCCTCATGTTGGGCGAAAGTTTTACTTTCTCAAAGATGCGCTCGTCGTATGGATCTTCTCCGTCTTTGAGCGGCGTTCTTTTTGGCTTGTTTCAAAGCCTTGGCAGCAGCGTCGTTGGCGTTTATGGAGCTCATATCCTCTATTAGCCGTTGTTGGCCCGTGGCATGTCGTGTTGACGTGGATGCGGGATGTTCAACTCGTTGTATGATTTTGGCAGTGGCTAAGCCCGCTCCTAAAGTAGAGGGGCTGTTCGATGAATCTTGGCCAAAGGAGAGAACTTTCTTTGGCATTTCAGCAAAAGTTTTGATCTCTTTGGAAATCTTGCGGGTGTCACGCCTAGCCTTAGGGCTAAGCGATCCAGAGGAGAGGGTTTCCTCGTATTTGGCTTGGTTAAACTCCATGACGAGAGTTTTAACAGTTGTTCCCATGAGATGGACGTCGGATTACGCCACCACTTCTTCGTCAGAGAAGCTCGTCCCCAGCGGAGTCGTCATCTTTTGTTTGTGGAAAATTTGTAATAAAAGAAATGAGGAAAAAATTTGATTTGTATTCCTTTGATCTCGATTACAATTGGATTCCGATTACAAAAGAGAGGAGAATGATCTGGATTCTCCCATTTGTTTAAAACTGGATTCTTCTTGATAGCGATGGAGTGCCTCTTTCGAATGTTTGCGTCGAATTTGCTCTCCGTTGACGATCCGACCATCTTTTATCTCATGGGAATGATGAACTTTCATGGTAAATTTAAGGAATAACTCTTAACGAGTTTAAGAACTCAGAACGAGTTAGAACTCCATGAAAAGAGTTGTTAGAATCGAAAATTCGGTTAATAGCCAAGAAGATTTGCTGTTGTTGAAGGATCCTCTTTAATTTGATCTTCTGAATCTGATTTAAATCTTCTATCTCCAAATAATTCATCCGTTATACGGTTTTGATTTCAAAATCTTCAACCTCCCCCTAATCCGGACCTCCGAACCCCTTTCTCTGTTGAGTTTGTTGAGGTTTTATAAGAGGATAAGGGTTGTAACTGCCCCCTTAATCCGCTCCTGAGTGGGCGTGATTTTCTCGGATCGTGGGAAAATAGTTTTGAAACTGTTCGACTCATGTTTGAATGAGTCAAATGCCTAATTTGGCATTCAGGACCCTAACTCCGCGTCTTGGAATTGAGAAACACAGAGTTGGGTGTTGATTGAACGTCAAAAACGTGAGGGCCGCTCGCGTTTTGCTTATTGTAGTTTGGAAACGCGGGGTTCGCCTACGTTTCAAGAATTGTAATGCGAAGATGAGTTTCGTGTTTTAGAAGGGACTAGTTGACTTGTAACCTCTTCTGTAGAGCATTGCAAGTAATCCCTCGCTTTAGCTGTTGTGGGGTGTGAAAGTCGTCAGATTGTAACTCTCACTGTTGATTGTGAAGACCACTGAATAGATTTTTCATCAGTCTTCGAAAGTGTCGTTGAATCGTAACTCTTCTCGATCTATGTGAAAAATCCTCCATTTGTAGCTTTCATTTGTTGACATCAAAGTCATCTGATTGTAACTTTCATTATTGAAGCTTAATGGGGATCATCTATTTATTATGATTACTTGACTCATTGTATTTGAGATCCAGTTTATACTCAGAGATATTTCTATTCTATTTTAGTTGGGCTCATTATTGATATTTCTTATGATTCTTCTGTGTATATCCAGTGTTGCCTATTTCTATTTTTGCCTATCTATACCTTCACTTATTTATTGTTTCCTCTAGAAAGATAATAATTATGATGGTGACACATGTCATAGCATGGTGGTTGGTGTTTGGCAGGTTTGATAATCCGGGTTTCATCTAGGACTACAACCTTGTGTGAACCCTGGGACGTCACAGTTGGTATCAGAGCTCTAGTTTTCAATATCCTTAGGAATATCCCTGTGTCATATTGTGTAGTTAGGATAGAGTTTCCTAGGGATCATGTATACAGTCCGCTAGGAATCCTTAGTATGAGTGAGGACGTACTATATATGTACACGGAAAATCTAAATTTTTTTATGAACTATTTGCTTTGATTAATAAAGAATGCTATGAGGAATATGTGATATGATTTACTTATTGGTATATGTTATATGTTTCATGCTTAAGATCCTATTTACTGCGTAATAAGCTTTATTTTGGAATTAAAAATGTCAGGAAGAGGTCGTGGATGCTGAGTTACTCGTGCTCAGGGAGTTGAGCAGGATGATAGGGAGCCCGAGCCACAGCAGGCTCCACAGTACTTAGTGGATCTCATAGCACCCTTGGCAACTCGTTTGGCGACTATTGAGGAGCAGCTAGCAGACCAGGTTTGACAGGAGACTTCCGTTCATGAGGAGACAACCGTTTAGGAGTCATCCATTCGTGAGGAGATACCAGAGAGGACACCAGCAGTTGAACCACTACCCCAAGTAGATGATGGAATTGCTGATCAGAAGTTGAAAGCACCCGAGTTCCACGATTCGACAGATTCTATTGTCGCACACAAATGAAAGGAAGATGTGAGTAACATCATGGATATGTTGAATGTTAATTCTGTACAGAAGTAGAGGCTAGCGGCTTTCAGCCTCAAAGGCGATGCAGGAGGATGGTATAGACTCTGTTTCACCCCAGAGCAGAGGATGTCAGTTTCGTGGGAGACTTTTATATATCTTTTTGATAAATAGTATGTTTCGGCTGCAGCGAAAGCCGGAAAGGAGTTAGAGCTGGCTCGGTTAGAGCAGGGAGATATATATGTCATGGACTTTGAGAGTAAGTTCATGTCATTGCTTAGATTCACCGGCATGTGGCACACAGAGGAGCGACAGGCTTAGATGTTCCTGATGGGACTTCGTCCAGGGTTGCGCCGGTATATAGTATCTTGGAGGTTTCGTTCAGTGCGAGAGGTGGCAGATGCTATAATGGCTCAGGAGATAGATATAGCCATATTCATCAAGGGCAAGGACAATGGTAAATCAGGACAGTCCGAAGAGAAAGGAAAAGGTATGAGACCATTTGGAGGCTCAGGAGGACCCCATCAGCAGGGTAAGGGTCCGCATCAACAGGGTCCCCATAAGAAGGGCCATTAGCAAGACCAGAGAGCACAGTAGCACCGCCTTTTTTAGGAAGATTGTTACAATTGTAACAAGATTGGACACAGAACAGCACAGTGTCGCAGTGCACCCGCAGCAGGCCAGCAGGGCAGGACTCAGCAGCATCTGTAGAACCGCACTCAGGGATGTGGTCAGGGCCAGCAGTTGAGGATTTAGGAACCCTCAGCAGTCCTAATGATTGAGTGACAGGTTCGAGCGGTCCAGGAGACCCAACAGAGACAGATAACATCATTCACTCCAGATGATGCAAAGTAGTAGACCGGTAGAGTGTATGCAGTTGTTCCTCGCGATCATGGAGCGAGCGAAGCTGTGGTGGAAGGTACATTCCATGTGAACTCCTTTCCAGCACGTATTCTTTTTGAATCTGGCACTTCACATTCTTTTATCTCCTATGATTTTACAGTTAGACTTCAGCTTGTAGCTCAGCCGTTAGATTTTTCTTTATCTGTATCTACTCCGTTGGGAGAGATGTCTTTGTTAGGGAATGTTTGTAGGAGATGCATCGTCAGCTTGGATGATTCTGAGTTCGCGATTGATTTGATCGTGTTGTATATGTCTGAATTCTATGTGATTCTTAGTATGGATTGGCTATCCTCCTACCACGTCAGTATCGACTGTTTTGCGAAAACAGTCAAGTTGTGAGCGTCTGATGGGTCCGAGTTAGTTGTGGCAACCTCTTAGGGGAACCAGTTTGCAGAGTCATTAGTGGCGTACATCGAGGAGGTGATGCTTCGGGATCAGAATGTGGATATATGCAAGACTAGAGTTGTCTTAGATTTTTAGGATGTCTTTCAGGACATACCTGGGTTATCTCCTGTAAGAGAGGTTGAGTTTTGTATTGAGTTGTAGTCGGGCACAGCCCCGATATCCCGAGCACCCTATCGCATAGCACCTACTGAGCTGAGGGAGTTATAGATCCAGTTGGATAAGTTATTAGTTCAGGGCTTTATTTGTCGAAGTTATTCTCCGTGGGGAGCGCCGGTCCTCTTCATGAAGAAGAAGGATGGTAGTATGTGATTGTGTATCAACTACCGTAAGTTGAACAAGGTCACTATCCGAAATATATATCCCTTGCCTTGGATTGATGACTTGTCCGATCAGCTGTAGGGAGCATAGTATTTCTAGAAGATTGATCTTCGTTCTGGTTATCATCAGTTGCCGGTTCGGGAGATGGATATTCCCAAGACTACCTTTCTGACTCGATATGGGTATTCGAGTTTTTTGTTATGCTATTTGGGTTGACCAATGCACCCGCGGTATTCATGGATTTGATAAACCGGGTCTTCTATCTATTTTTAGGCCAGTTCGTTATTGTGTTCATTGATGATATCTTATCTATTCAAGATCGGAGTCGGAGTATGGGCAACATCTACGTTTGGCTTTGCAGACCTTGCGTGAACATCAGCTATATGCTAAGTTTAGCAAGTGTGAGTTTTGGATTTCTGAGGTGAGGTTTCTTGACCATCTTGTCAGCAGAGAGGGCATAGCGGTAGACCCAGCTATGGTTTCAGCAGTACTTGATTGGGAATCGCCAAAAATGGTTATCGAGATTTGTAGGTTTTTGGGATTGGTCGGATATTACAGGAAGTTCACTCAGGACTTCTCAAAGATTGCGATGCCCCTTACACGCCTTATAAAGAAGGGTGTACAGTTTACTTGGAGCATGAAGTGCTAGAAGGCTTTTGATACCTTGAAGGCTAAGTTGACTACGATGCCAGTTCTTACTATTCTGAGCAGTAACAGGACATTTGTTGTGTACACGGACTCGTCATTAGCAGGTTTGGGAGGTGTTCTTATGCAGACTCAGAAGGTAGTAGCATACATTTCATGGTAGTTGAGAGTTCATGAGCAGAACTACCCCACTCATGATTTAGAGTTAGCAGTGGTTGTATTCGCGCTGAAGGCGTGGAGACACTACTTATATGGAGTACAATTCGAGCTTTTCACAGACCATCAGAGTTTGAAGTACCTTTTCTCCCAGAAGGAATTTAATCAGAGGCAGCGGCGATGGATTGAGTTCATCAAGGACTATGAGTTCACGATTCAGTATCATCCGAGGAATTAGAATGTCGTAGCAGATGCTTTGAGTAGGAAGTGTCGACATTAGGTTGTGATTTTGAGGGGCTTATTGTATAGACATCTTCTCACTCTTAGCCAGTTCGACTTTAGGCTAGAGTTTGGCGGGACCAGCGTATATTTAGGAGCTATATCAGTGCAGCCATCTTGGAGGGACAAAGTAGTCAGAGCTCCGTTAGAGGACTCTTGGATTAAAATCTGGAAGGAGAAGATTTCCAAAGAGCCCATGGATGATTGGACCATCGGAGCAGATGGAGGCCTTCGAATGAAGGGTCGATTAGTTATGCCAGCTAGTGTGGAGCTGAAGAAGTTGTTTGATGAAGCACATCGTACCCGATATACAATGCATCTAGGAACCACCAAGATGTACAAAGACTTGAGGAGACATTTCTGGTGAAGTGGTATGCGTAGAGACATTTGCAGATTATGTGGCAAAGTGTTTTACCTGTCAGCAAGTGAAGGCAGAGCACCAGAGACCAGCAGGAACACTTCCGCCCTTACCCATTCCAGAGTGGAAGTGGGTGGACATTTCTATGGACTTCATTGTGGGGTTTCCGAAGTCGAAGAAGGGGAACAATTCAGTTTGGGTGATAGTGGATCGGTTGACGAAGTATGCACATTTTATTCTAGTGAGGACCACTTATACCGTCGAGGCATATGCAAGGATATTTATTCGGGAGATAGTTCGACTGTATGGACTTCTAGACACGATTGTGTCAGATCGAGGATTAGTATTCACCTCGCACTTTTGAAGGAGTTTCCAGAATTCATTTGGCAGCAGATTATTGCACAGTAGTGTATTTCACCCTTAGACGGATGGTTAGACAGAGAGAGTGAACCAGGTATTGGAGGATATGCTACGGGCTTGTGTTATTGATTTCTAGGGCATCTAGGAGGATCATATTCTATTGATAGAGTTCGCTTATAACAATAGTTATCAAGCGACGATTGGTATGACTCCGTATGAGGCACTATACGGGAGGCCTTGTAGATCCCCTATATGTTGGGCAGAGCTGGAGGATAGCTTGTTGCTTAGACCAGAGCTGGTGAGGCAGACTACTGAAAAGGTAGCATTGATTAGGGAGCATATTCTAGTCGCTCAGAGTCGATAGAAGAGCTACGCAGATCATAGACAACGACCTTTAGAGTTTCAGGTTGGAGATTATGTTATGCTGAAGATATCCCCGATGAAGGGTGTGCAGCGATTTGGCAGACGGGGAAAGCTTGCCCCGTGATTTATTGGTCCTTTTCGGATTGTTGAGCGTATTGAGGCTGTTTCTTATCGACTAGATCTTCCAGCATCGATGTCTAGTATGCACGACGTATTTCACATTTCTATGCTCTGGAGGCACCTTCATAATGAGGAGAGACAGTGAGTATTGGATGCTCCAGAGATCGAGCTTCAGATGATTTGACTACGATTGAGATCCCAGATTGTATACTTTCTAGAGAGGACAAGATGCTTAGAAATAAAGTGATTCCTTTGGTGAAAGTCCAATGGAACTGGAGAGGATCTGAGGAGATTTCTTGGGAGAGTGAGGAGGATATGCTTCGTGACTACCCACACCTGTTTGAGCAGGTAAATTGTTTAGATTTTGTTTTCTTATGATTTATGATGATTTTGAGATAGTTATATTCATCTTTAACACTAGAATGGGGCTATTGTCACCTAGTCCTTAATCATTTGAAAAATATATGGTATATACATGAGGGTTTCCTTGTTTGGATTATTTCGCTCGATGTACTAATTTCATTTAGTTAAGGATTGAGGTGCGAATATTTGCATTCTAGGTTGTTAACTTTAAATATCATTGTGCTAATACTATGAGATATGTGCAGAAGGGTTTCTTAATATGAATTACACCTTCTTAATGAGTTTTCCCAGTTATTAAGCTTTGTGATGCGATTGCGGAATTTTAAGGACGAAATCCTCTTAAGGGGGGGTGAATGTTAAACCCCGATAATTTTTGAATGATATATTAATTTGAGATTAATTATGATATACTGATATTTAGTAACCGCCATGGTCGACTGCGAAACCTACAGAGAGCTGTTTGCTCTGTTTTGAGTTGGTTTCGAATTTCTAAACCCATATTCGTTTTCCTATATATATAAATAAATATATATATATATATATATATGAGTTTTTCACGTTTTTCTCAGTTTTCCTAAGAACCCTAACCGCCACCAAACCGCCCAAACCTTAGTTTGATTTCTTGGAGAAGATTAGATACTTTCGAGCGGGATTTTTCTTGGTTTTTGGTTTTTGGAGTGGAGATCTCTTTCAACCTTGCTTCTAAAATGTTTTTTGATAATCTAAAGCGAGTATCATCTTTGCTAATCCCCCTCCCAGTTTTTAAAATATTTTTAAAGAGATTTAAACATGTTTTGTAGAGCCTAAACGACTAGATTATGAATAGAAGACAACTTTTTTGAATTATATGTATAAAAATTAGGTCTTTTCATGCTAAAAAGGTTGAGAATGAATTTTACAGATGTAATTAAGATCTGAGAATGATTTTAAAACATGGTTAATCTAAAGAAAGAAGTTTGATTCATTATTTTGAGCTTTTATGCATGTTTTAGGCTTGGATAAATTTTGAAAAACGACCGTATTTCGAATTTAATGAGCAAAAACGACCGCTTAACAGAAAAATTAGCAAAATCGACTTTTTTTTGCACGGGAGTACTAGTCCCGTGCAAAAAAAGGGCTGCTTTTCACCCGACGCTCATCTTCCCCCTTCCGCTCATTCCCTCTGGTTGTGACCAAAAAACCAGACCCCCACCCTCCTTCCCCACT